AAATTAAGATTATATCTCCAAAGAGTCGTGTTAAATGGTTAAGCTGAAGATATTTCTTCTGCTATTGCTTTGCAGTCAATGAGTGCCAGAGCATACAATTATTTTTACGGACGATAAAAAAACATTCCTTTACCTTGCGTATAAACTCTTTGAAATTGAAGTACTCATTTTAATGTCAAACCTAGAATTCTGAAGGATGAATTCTACAAATAATGCAAGGATAAATATAGATTTGTCTGTGATAGAGAAATTGACTGTATTGTCTTTTGACGAAGTTTATATTTTGAATAGATTTGGAAAAGCGTGAGCAAAAGATATGGACCGCATAAGACAAGTCAATTTGTAATGGCCCAAGGCCTTATTGCAAAATGGAGACAACCAATCTTTTATGATTTCGATCAATTCATGACAAAAGAAATTTTATTGAAATCATAATACGTCTTCAAGAAGCAGATTATACTATTCGTCACGATTACAAGTGATTTAGGTTCTACAAATGTACGTTTATGGAAATCAATAGACATTGGAGTTGAGATCCCAACTAATGAGAATTCTGAAATGACAGGAAACCCAGACGAAGCCATGTTTTTTTTTGCACCCATCAGACAATAATTTGAAAGTGTTTGTTTTTGCTGATGATGTTCCACATCTAATTAAATTAGCTAGAAATATTGGGAGTACAAATAAGTTTCCGCCGGTTTTAATCAAAAATTAAGCTTTTATTGTGAAAGAACGGTACATAATGTTTTATTCAAAGTAATGGCCATTGCTAGCCATTACTTTTTCCCATCTTTCTGGTAGCATGTGGATACCGCGTCGGAAGAACGCTTCATTTTTTGCTATCCAATCATTGATACAATCTTCATATGATGTGAAGTGCTGCTCAGACAGGCCGATCGATTGCGTCATCGATCGGAACAAGTGATAGGCGGAAGGAGCAATGTCTGGAGAATACGGCGGGTGGGGTAGAACTTCCCTGAGTGTTTCTAAATAGGTGTTGCGGCGCAACATGTGGTCGAGCATTATTATACAGGAGAATAATTTTGTCAGGAGAATAATTTTGCTTGAAATAATAGTAGGCGCGTTTTTCCTTGAGTGCTCGGCTCAATCTCATCAATTGTGTTCGGTAGAAAGCCCCAGTAATGGTCTCGTTCGGTTTGAGCAACTCATAATACACGACACCAAGCTGATCCCACCAAATACACAACATGAGTTTTTTTCCATGAATATTCGGCTTGGCTGTCGATGTTGAAGCATGGCCAGGTGGTCTCCATGATTTCCTCTTCTTTGGATTATCGTAGTGGATCTATTTTTCATCACCAGTGATTATATGATGCAAAAAATCCTTTCGTTTATGCCTGGCAAGCAGCATTTCACATGTGAAAAATCGGCGTTCAACGTTTCTCGGCTTCAGTTCATATGGAATCCAATTCCCTTGCTTTTGAATCATTCCCAATGATTTCAAACGATATGAAATTGTTTGTTGAGTCACTTCTAATGTAAGTACAAGTTCTTTTTGCGTTTGGCACGAATCTTCATCCAATAATGCTTTCAATTCCGTGTCTTCATCCAATAATGCTTTCGGCCTTCCGCTACGTTCTTTGTCTTTGACGTCAAATTCACCGTTCTTAAACTTTTGAAACCACGACAACTTCTCTCTTAAGGCAGCATCACCATATGCTTCTACAAGCAATCTCTGAGCCTCAGCTGCAGATTTCTTTAAATTAAAGAAGTAAATCAAAAGTTCCCGTAAATGACGCTTATTCGGCTCAAAACTCGACGTTTTCGTACAAAAAAAATATATGATACTGATATAAAATCGCTAATATTGCAAGGTTATAATGTTGCCGGATGTCCAATCTTACGATATGTCGTTTTACATCAAACGATTTTAACTACAGTTTATTAGTGGCGTCGTCTTTTGCAAACGGCGGAAACTTATTTGTACTTCCAATATTATGTATTTACCTTTCAAAACAAATATGTACAAAATTACACAACGTTAAATATTTCTACAGTTAATGAAATCATAATATAATCATAATAAAATCAAATTATTGTGTTTTTGTAATGCAATATTTATAAAGCTGTATTCACAAATACATGTAAATTTAAAAGCTATTTTTTATATTAGGTATAGTAAAAAGAAATCATTATTTTTCCATTCAATTTCATGCAAAAATAATGGATTTCTTTTTACTACACCTAATATATTGTAAATTAACCTAATGTTTTACATAAAAAGTTTTTTTTGTTCACGTGCAGCTCATTATCTTCATTTACTTCTAAATTAATTTCATTGTTGTTTGAAATTGTTCATCTACTTCCTCTAACAAATCGTCTAATTCATCTTCATGAAGAATACACAAATTGTATAATGTACAAATTGTATAATGTACGCTATAATAAATTTACAGCAATGTTAAATGGTATGAAACTCTAACTTCATTAATTGTCTGAATCGTTTTAATCAAAAACATTTTCGATTTTTATGCAACAGAAAATTTATAATTGAAATTTCGTTGCGTATCAAATTTTCTGTATCTGTATCAAATTTTCATAATCTCGATAAGGAATGATAAAGTTTTCTTTAAGGTAGCGTCGCCTAATATATGCCATTCATTTTCATATATCTGGCATTATTTATGAAAGATAATTTGAAAATACGTGCATCATAAATTTTATTAGGCGATGAAAACATCAAGAAAGCTTCTTTTCTCATCACATATTGCTTGCAGTGTCAAAGAAGTCATGTTATGTCGATTTTATTAATTCGTCTTGAAGAATTTCTATATTACATGCTTAATTTGTACTTACTCAATGAAATGTTAACGTCAACAATAGAATTATTGCGGACAATTTCGACTATGCGTTATATATCAATAATTGCTAAAAAGTTTATTATACATATTGAAGAGAATCTGAATTAGAGAACGAAACGTATGTAATATCATTATAATCTAATTTTTATTAGTAAATACAATATCCAATGTCGACTCTTATCGGCATTATCACCTATTGATTAAAAAGTTGTCTTGTTTAAAATATATTTAATATATAATTCATAGGAATGTTTGTCTTTTTTTTATTTACATTTTTTAATTATTTATATTCTGAAATCTTTGCTTTTTCTTCAAATGTTTCTGGAAATTTTATAATAGATCCTGCCAAGTTATAAAAAAAATAATATTATCACAAACAAGGTGAAATGTGGATTCTGCCATTATTAAATCTACTTGCTACATATCTAGCACTTTTGTTATATGTACTACTTAAATAATATTTTTTTATATATCATAGAAAATGTAAAAATATGTGTGTGTGTGTGTGTGTGTGTGTGTGTGTATGTGTGTGTGTATGTGTAATGCGTATTTTTGAAATATACTTTATTACCACAAAAAAATGCTAGTAATTTTACATTATTTGATATGTGATTATTAATAATATTTTAGCAAAAATCCGATTCTTCAAATTTTTTAATTGTAAATATGTATCTCGTCGCAAATAAAAATTTCTCTGAAACTAAATATTATATTGTATATATACAATTATAATATAAATATTAAATCATCTCTGCTACATAGAGATATATATATGTATGTATATAGCATGATTATGTATACAAACATACATACATATCATAAAAATTCTTATTGTTATATAAATTTACTTATTTCTTTATCCAGATACTCATTTATCCATATAACATTCATAAAATTCTTTATTTTTGGTTTTTTCTTTTATGCAACTAACAATAAAATTTACCTCATCGTCACTACTGTTGCTTTCTAATATTTCATTTAGAAACATTGTTTAAACATTGTTTAAACGCCATTACTTCAATCTAACTGCGATTTCTCAGCAAACTGTCGAAATTGGCAGTGCAAGAAATTTTGTACTCGTTCAGTTTCCTTTATGTATTCGAATATAAAATCAGTGTTACACTAAGAGTGCCTTCGAAAATCGCTCGTTGGTGTGTTCGGTGACTTCAGTAGCAGAAGTAGTGAGGATATCGTGTGCCTTTGAGTGGGAAGTGTTCCCAAACGGCTTCCGTGTGGCGTGTGTGTCATCTCAATTCCACTTCACCGCTCACATTTAATCCTAACCTCAAGCTAAACAATTCACGGTGAAAAAAGGCAGTGGTGATTGTAAAGAGGAACGACAGCTATATATGATCATAAAAAGAAAGGAATATAAGTCATTCTTTCCAAATTTCGAATTTCGATTGGTCGATTCCCTTATGCGTTATGCAAGCCTGTGGCCAATACACCAGCTCACATCGACCCCTTGTTTTTCGCACGAGTGATTTAGTGACTTTCTCGACGTTTCCGAATTCACACTCGCGCGCGCGCACGCACGTACGCACACATACACATACACATTTATAAAGTGCACTACAAATGATGGAATCAATCAGAGAAGAGGAACACTCTTCGCTCTCTCCTGATTCTCTGAAGGTTTGTTCGCGTCGCATGCTCCAATGTGCTCTTGCTATAGTTTCTACTCATTTCAATGTGCGCATTAGAGCGAGTAAATGCTATGGTAGGAGCATTTTAAAGCATGTTAGAACATGCGACGCGACAAATTCTGATACTTGGAAGCACTTGTATTTCCACAGTTCACATATGGCCATAGAGTATGAAAATGTGACCACACTATTTCACGGCTGACAGGATTTTCTAATCTCAATAATTGTCAACTTTAACACTTAATGATTCGTGAGTTATGCAGATTCGTTCATTTCGAACAAAAACGCGTTAAGTGAGTCTAATTTCATCAGCTGCGTTCAGCAGAACACAACAATTTTGCAATAGTTTATGATTTTCTGATTTTCTGAGATAGGATCATTCTTCTTGATCTAAAAGCATAGCAATTAGCCAATAAAAGCAATCTAATCAGAAGAAAAATTCCAACAGTTGCAAAATAAATGTTCTGCTGAACGCAGCCAGTGAAAGCAGATGAAGAGCGTTTTCTGAATAATTACCAAAAATATTACTTACGTGCCAGATAACATTTGTGCCATTGTAGTATACATGGCACAAAATCCCACAACTTCTTTATAATCTTCTAAAGCCATCTTTCTTGTCTTGAGTTACTCCGACTTGTTTTATTAAAGGTTCGCACTAACTCGTTATTAACCCGTGAATTGTTATCAATGTCAAATACTTCGAACATCAAAAATAGGACAGAGAGAGGCCATATCTCTATTTCGTGACACGCTCGAAATTCTGATACACTAGCGACACTAATCATACAAACTCCCATATAAAATTTTAGGTCGCGTTAGTTCTAATGTTAGTTATAATGTTATCTGGCACGTAAGTATGATAGTAATATTTTTGGTAATTATTCAGAAAACGCTCTTCATCTTCAGTTTCAATGGAATTATACTCATTCGAATTATACTCATGCGTTTTTGCATGAAACGGAAGAATCTGGTTGTAAAATATGCTCAGTTCCGCGAAGCGAGATATTAATTATTAAAGTTGGAAATTATTCAGTTTAGCAATGTCAGAAATCGATGGCTGCGTTCAGCAGAACATTTATTTTGCAACTGTTGGAATTTTTCTTCTGATTAGATTGCTTTTATTGGCTAATTGCTATGCTTTTAAATCAAGAAGAATGATCCTATCTCAGAAAATCAGAAAATCATAAACTATTGCAACATTTTGGTATATTCATCCAGGTGGCATTTATATTATAATATTTTAATTACATTTAAATCGTGATTAAATCGTGATCGCCCTGCGCACAATAGCAGGAATAAAGAATTATGCCCGTATTCATAGTCAGATTTTGTACTTAAGGTTTCCTTAAATTTATTTTTAGGTGCTCAGCAGCCAATGAAATAATTCGTAGAGTATCTAAAGATAAATTTAAGGAAGCCTTAAATATAAGGCCTGACTATGAATATGAGTATTACAAATAAGCAGTAATGAGTAATGATTAATGAGTAATAAGTAAGGAATAATGATTTCAACGTATCAAAAACCTTGTATCGATATATCCGATTTCTGATAGGTTAAAATCGTTATTCTTTATTCCTACTTTCTTATTCTATTGTGCGTAGGGACATACCCTTTATAAAGAATAATAGAAAACTAATAGAAACATTAGAAATTGATAGAAGAATGACAGAAAGTGCGCAAAAAGAAAAAGAAATGAAAAAGAATTTTAAATGGTGTGGACAAATAAAATTTTAATGGATTGATTTAAAAAGAATATTAAACCGTATGAATTTTACACCGATTGGATGTACTAGTGAAGTTATAACCAGAAATTTGTCTTTGCGCGATATATAGGAGTCTTTATTTTAAGAAAATAATATTCGCGTTTTTTTTTATATAAATTCTAAAGCCTTGTCTTCGCGATAATAAAAATCAGTCCAAGATCTTGGTTACCGAAAGAATAAAAAAAAGAAATTATCAAGTCAAATTTGAACAATTCGGTTAATTGACCAATTGGTCAATTCTTTCTTTATCCAAAACCTTAAATCATAGAACTTATAAATATGGATTATATCAAATTATATAAAATTATGTAAAATTAAGGACGGTATAAAATTATGTATAAAATTAAAGGTAATCATTAAACGATAATTTTTGTATTTCAGTTAGTCTTCTAATCTTCTTCAGCGATAATAGAATTATATACTTATCTTACGTATACAATAAGAGATCGGAAGATGTGAAATTTATTTATTGCAGTTTCCAGGAAAGTCAAGCTAAATTCTCTGTCGAGAATATATTTTTCCATGCTAATTACAAGGCTGAATGAAACTCATAATGTCGGTGCCTTTAATAATAAAATAAAATAAGTATTTTTATATGGGAAAATAGATGTACAAAGACTTCACCCGTTACGAAAACTGCAATCATATAAAATAAACTGCTAATCTAAAGTTTTGATAGCAAAGAATGTCCTACTTGGAGTCAGCGTGTAAGAGGAGCGCAATCTACACTTATATAATCATTAATAATATTAAATAATAGTAATAAACATAATGTGTATTAAAAAATATTAGTTTGAATACGTTTCGGCTATCAGTTTTAGCCATCTTCAGCAAATACATAATTAATACATCAATAAAGAATATCTTCTATCCAGTCGAAAAGCACAAACATTGTACAAAGAAGTTGTCTATCTTCTTGGTTAACAAAGTGATTGCGTCTTAAGTTATTAAGAGTTAAAAATTACGTAAAGTTAACATTGAAATTGTACAAAGTAAGTGCTTACCTCACTCCCATATAACACTATAGTTAAATATATAACAATATCGAGTAAATGAAAAAGATTTATATAAAACATATTGTGATGAAATTTAAAAAGCTGATTTGATGATGCAAGAATTGGAAAATTGGGCATTAAAAAAATTGAACTTTCATATTCTCTTCTTTTTTAGGTACGTAGATATCCTTGTTTGCATCCCTTCGTCTGAATACAATATTACAATTATTTAATTCATACTATCCTAGATTTCAATTCACTATAAAAAAAGAAGGAAACAAAATTAATTTTTTGGATGTTACTTTGATTATGGAAGGTTTTCTAAAAACTGATTAATTTCAAAAACCTATTTTTTCTGGCAGATTTCTCAATTTCTACTCTCAGCATTCGATATCTCAGAAGAAGGGCATAACTTTAAGTTTAGTTGACAGAATGTTTCTTCTTTCACATCCAGAATTTCATGAAAAAAATTTGACATTTATAATTCAAATTTTAACAGATAATGACTATCCTATAGATTTTATCCTCAAGACAATAATTAATAGACTTAAATATTTAATTAAAAAAACAAATTCATTGACTAACAAAAATAACTCAAAAAAGTTCAGATGAAAAAAAGATGAATCTCCATGCAAGATAAATTTTAAAATGTAATTAATGACGATGTAGATAAAACGGCTTTTTCCGGTTTAAATAAATTAAATAAATTTGTAAAAGTTCATAAAGATCTGACGCTCAGAAACGTCGTTTATAAAATAAATTGTAAGGATTGTGATGCATCCTACGTGGGTCAAACGAAAAGAAAATTAATTACAAGAGTAACAGAACATAAAAGTAATTTTTCTAATTAAAGTAAAGGTTCTAATTCTTATTCTGTTATCACTGAACACGTTTTGCATCACAAAATTGACAATACAGAAGTTCTAGAGGAAGAAAGATATTTTAACAAACGATTTCAGAAATCATAAAACGACAAACAAATGTCAATTTTCAAAAAGACACAGATGATTTAGATCGAACATATAATGACATTCTTAATAAATGTAAATAAATTTAGATTCAACTTACACAATGACAACATCATTCTATATTCTTTCAATATCTATCTTAGAAACATCTTATTACATTCTTAGAAACAGTTAAGAACATTCTTGACGATACATCTTGATGATTTTTAAGTTTCATTACATGTTTTATATAAATCTTTTTCATTTACTCAATATTGTTATATACTTAATTGCAGTGTTATATGGGATTGAGGTAAGCATTTTTTTAATGCAATTTCAATGTTAACTTTACATAATTTTTAACTTTTAATAACTTTATTAGAACGCAATCACTTGTTAACCAAGAAAACAGGCAAGTTCTTTGTACGATGTTTATGCTTTTTTCACTTTCCGACTGGATAGAAGGTATTCTTTATTAATTATGTATTAATTATGTATTTGCTGAAGATGGCTAAAACGTTTAAACATCTTTTAATACACATTATACTATTAATGATTATATAAGTGTAGATTGCGCTCCTTTTACCGCGCTGATTCCAAGCTCCCTTAAATCTGTATTGTAATATAAGAATATATTAATTTAATAATAATTTAAAAGAAATTTGGAGATGACAGTGCAATAGAAGTCGGGCGCGGTAGGCATTGCGCAGATAATATATATAGATATAACACAAAACTTTTTATTACAATAACTCGCTTACATGTTTCAGCTCATTTTTTAGCCCTTTTCAAAGACATATAAATCATTTTTATAGATACAATTTATGCGTCAATCTTTATAGATACAATTTATACTCAGACAGTATAGTAATGTTTTAAAAATATATTTAAAATATATTTAAAAATATACCATATTTAAATATATTTTAAAACATACATGTTGGACATATTAAAAACATTCAGATCCATAGATATTTAAAAAACAACCAGTTTTAAAAACAACCAGTGTTACTATTTTGAGCTTCTTAAAAACGTCCATTTTAAAGCGCAATGGACTAAATTAATATATTAAACAAATTTTAGACCGCACCACAATCAAAAAATAAGTTTTAAAGATTTTTTGTCGTTGAAAATTTTCAACACAGCACATGTGTCCGTGGGACTAAAGACGTTCGCACATATTAAAGATGTCCTTGAGACGTCTCCTTTGGATAAAGTGTATTGTATAGAAACAATCCCGTAAATGAAATTGCTCTATCATATCACATTTTTAAACTATTTTAGCTCGAAAGTATCCAAAAGTGCCATTTTTAGTAATTTTAAGTTCAATTTTCTCAAATATGTAACGTGATACAGCAATTTTATTTGCGGATTCGTTTTTAATGACAAAAAATCTGTAAGAATATCTCATCTAATTTGTCACCTAAAAAGAAGTTTAAATTTATCATACATTATATGTTATCTAGACCAAATATTCTGCATACGAAGTGAATCTGAAAATTTAGTTTAAACAGAGAGAGATAGTTATTTTGAGAGACTTTCTATATTTCATTCTCTTCTTCACGGCAAGTTACCGACTATAAAAAATTCTAATTTTACTTCATAGACAGAAAGTTAATATATTAAATATGTCATTGAACTAGTCTATTCGCCAAGCATTTAAATGTGATTGAGATTCTTATCTTTGAAGTCAATCATATTCAGTCAATTATTTGATGAATATGATTGTTGTTTTATAGCTACTTATCTTTAAAATAAATACATTTAAACTTATTCATTTTTGGACATGCACATTTTTAGAATATGGCCAGACTCTGGTTTTTTAGGAATTCTATTTTCCACTATCCTCTGCACGCTGGAAGCAAAAAATTCCAAACTCTTATTATTGCAAGCAGCAAGCTAT